TCTCAATAACAAAGAATTCAAACCTACAGCTGTGATGGGCAAAGGATTCAAAGTTAAGAACCTTATCCAGTCAGCTTCTAACACATTTAAACAATTATACTAGTAGTCTGTTACTGTTAACAAGAATGTTACAGTTAGAATATTTTCTAACAAACAAAATATCCTTGCTTTCCTCAATAGAAAAAATATTTTTTGTTAGTGAAGAAACTGGAAATAAATTCTTATTATACGAGTCAGGTGAGTCTGTAGCTTTTATGGTAACAATTTTTTGGCTGGGTTTTATGCTGTATCAATACAGTATAGGTCATATCAACTTTCCATCTTTACTGGTGGAGGAAGACCTCGGATGCCCTTCTTTGAATTACTTAGGCATGAACGGCACCTGAGTAGAACCACTAACGTTCTGTAAGCTAGCTGGATAGCTTCTTCACATGAAAGAATCTAAGTCACTGTCAGGATATGAGCTCATAGCACTGAAGTGCAAGTGGTTTGAAGTCAATGACCTGAACCACTGACCACTTGGCCATGGTTACCCTGTGGTAAAGATTGACCCTTTTCACACCTACTTTTTTAAATAAGTTTCATTTGTTCTTTGTACTACTTGTGACACTTTATCATCAAAATAATAAAGCTAACAAGACAACAGTATAGATTTTGGCTCTAAATCAGTAGCATAAATGTGTAATAGACCAGTCTGTGTTACTTGTAATACTGAATGTGATTATAATTACCCATTTTGAGTAGTTCAAGTGTGTCATTTTCTCCAGGAATATGAGCTGTGTCTAGTACAGCATCTCTTATCTTAAATAAACTCTGTAGATAGTGGATACCTTTCTGTAAATTCTGAAACCATATTTGATTATATATAGAGGATATTGAATGAGTGTGGGTTCAATACTGAATTTATTGAACAAGTTGAATAAAATTATATTATGCGAGCCTCTGGCGAGACAAAATATTATTCTTATGTGACAAGTTCAGTAATGAACCTACACGAATATAATACTTTATTACCATATAATAAAATAAAGATTGTTTAACGTGCACAATAATCTTTTTTATTGATGGGCTTATAGATCTTTGTATTTTGTCCACAAATGTGTTATTCATGAATGGATTTTGAAATTATTATATAAATATGCAGCTTTTTAAGATGACAAGTAGTGAACAAGATCCAGTTCAGCAGCCCAAATTATCCGCAAGACATGACCATGTATGCACTCTTATGAAAAACTAATATCATGATTTTGAACTTACAAGTGTGACCTTGACCTTTGAGCTAGAGACATTGTCACAATGTCTAACATATTAATGCTAAGTTAAAAATCCATTCATGGATGCTGAAAAACTATAAGCCTCCTCATTTTTGGATATCTTACATATACCTTCATGTTTTCTAATGAAAATATGTTCAAGTCTGAAAAAAAATTTGTACACTAAAAGAATGGCTATTCCAATTATCACACTATGTTTTGCTTGTGTTGTTACATGAAGGGTGCGTATCTACATGATGTTCATTAACTTTTATATACCTTGAGTACTGTATGGACTATACATAAGAAAAATAATTCATTTGTTTCTTTTTTCTAGATTTCTGTTATACATGTAACAAAAAGTATATACCACAAGAGGAAAATTATGCAAGTAAGTTAACAGGGTGTCCTTTTGACCCTTGAAATGACACTTTGACCCTTCAAAATTCCAAAAGGCCTGATTTGACCCCCAGAATTTTTACTGGAGGGTCGAATTTTGTTAAAATCATGGGGATTTGACCTTGTAGTCGGTAAAAACTTAGTCAAAATGACCATCAGGATTTCATGGTTAGTAATCACCCTTAGTAAGTAGTTAGATACAAATTTTATAGTTAGGTTTCTTCACGGGACAAACATGTATAATGTAGTACATGTATATCACTCGTCACTTGTGTAAAGTATTATACCCACTAGCCTGCCAGCTTGTGTGAAGATGTAACTTCATACAAACAAATGGAGTAACATAACATATCAAAATAATATACTCATGTAATATTCCCTATATATATCACCTGTCTATATTCTATCATTCCTCTCTGTAATCTTTCCTCGTCTTTACGTACAGTTTCACAATACCCATACAGCAGAGCCCCTTTCCGCCATAAAATACACTCGGCTATCTCATTACCCAGCAATTCCTCCAGTCTACTTCCTGGTGAAATCTTTCCACACATGCTCTTTATCTTGTCCAGATAAACTGTTAAAATAAATATGTTAATGTATATCTTATGTAACAAAGCATAATCAAGGAACAATATCAACTAACTTCATCTAATCAACTAACTAATATCAACATAATTTACCTGTAGATTTATTTTCAGAAAAATTTGTTTTTACAAACTGAAACCTAAGTAAGTATTAAACAAAAGGTTTGAATTGTTTTAGGCATCAATAAAACAAGAAATCATAAAGTTATGTAGTTTACATGAAATTACGTAATTTCATGAACGATTTATTCCACTACACTAATGGGTTCTGTGTCCCTTTTTTCATTTGCACAATCTATTATTGATGAGGAACAACTGGATTTGACATTTGAAATTGATGAAAAGTGAAATATCAATTTTCAAGCTTAAAATCAATACATGTATTGCATTGTGAAATGATAAATATCTGATTAACAGTAGATAACCTCTCTCAATACAATGATTATAAAATTACTTAATTAGAGTTTTTGAATGTCTTCATATTTATATGATATCAAATCCATAAATTCACTAATCAACTTTTGTATACAAATTGATTACCAATGTGACAGTGGTTATTGTGAATCTAAAAAGCAGTGGACTGGTAATTTTAAGTCATCCCGGTATTAAAGATATTCATTCTGTCAACATTTTTATTTCCAGGACAACTTCCCTGAATTAGATATTCACTTATTTAATATATACTTACCAAAAATTACAGCTATTCTTTCCTTTGAATTTTGTTCAGGAAATTCATCAATATTTGTGAGTATTTGTTCATCATGGTATGTAAAGTCTAAAACAGCCTGTAAAAGGTAAAAAAAATAATTGCTGTCTATTCATACAAATTAAGATTTTAAAATGATAAATATGATTTTTAGGATGACATGTACTTGTCAATTATCAAAAAAATCATATACATGTTTATCAAAAATATATTAATGGTACAAAATCTACTGGTTTGTTATTGCAGTGGTATGTAACCTCCAAATACTGTATCGTTATGTTTATCACAACAAGAGTTGTCCGAAAGTCTGGCACGCTAGCTTATTCTCAGTGCTTCATAAAGGTAATTTTATTGTTTGTTTGTTTTGGGTTTTACGTCACAACGACACAGTATAGATCATATCGCGACATTCCAGCTTTACTGGTGGAGGAAGACCGCAGGTGCCCTTCCACGCATTATTTCAGGCACGAACGGATACCTGAGTAGAACACCGACGTTCCGTAAGCTAGCTGGATAGCTTCTTCACTTGAAAGAATCCAAAGTCCCTGTTGGGATTCGAACCCACAGTAGTGAGGGGCAAGTGATTTGAAGTCAACGACCTTAACCACTCGGCCACGTACGCATTGTCAGGGTATCAGGAATGTCCTTCAAAATCTTTCTGAGATGGTTTGTTTTAAATCTAATTAAGGCAGTCATTTTTCTGTTAATCTCATAAACCAAGGAGATTTTCCTAAGTTTTAAGGCAGCCCAAAATGCATTTCAAAACCAACTCCTAATGACAATCTCTGGATTATTTTGGTAATTTCTTTTGATATAATTACCTTATCTTGAGACATTATATAGTCCTTAAATCATTCAATAAATAATATACCGGGTATGTGGTTATAAATAGTGAGTTTACTTCATTGACATGATTAAATAACTCAAGTGACCTAGCTTCTTCAACTCAGAAACAAACAGACCTCTGCAAATTGTTGTAGATAGTAACTGACTTGTCCACCAGATATTGTTGCTGGAAAATTGCTTGTTACCCCTTGGCACTTCATCATACATTTTTGTAAACATGCTGAATCCTCTTAAATGGAAACAATTATGAACAGTAAAAAAATACTATATCAAAGATGTAATATTTAATTTTACTAAAAACGATGTTTTATATAATAGCAATAAAGCCCGATTAAAAAAAAATCCATACCTATCATATACATTTTATATAGGTATGGATTTCTTTAATTGGTCTTTACTGTTATTATAGCTTAGATGTCTTCTTCTTCTACTGTACATAACCCGCTCTGGGGCATTAACGCACAGGGTGTATATACAAAGCTCAGTGATCAACCCATACGCCAGGCTCCCTAAAGAATGTTTTTGAATATGAACTGTACTGTATAATGATATAAGATTCTGATTTCCTTAATTTAAGATGGCTTCACTTACTGCAGTATAATTTTCATTATAATTTCTAGTATAATTTGTTAGACAGGTCTGCGGTGTGTCTTTAAATTATCTTTAAAAGAATCTAGCAACACTTAATGTATTTTAATTTAATTTTATCAATAATTTTATTTTACATTTTGAAAGAAAAATGTTTATTAAAAACCCACTGTACACAATAGGCATATACAGCTAGAGTCTTTCAAAATATATTTTGAAAAGCCCTATAGTTTGGGCAAAAAAAAAACAACTAAAGACTTAATCAAGATTGCAGGAGTCAAGTCATAATAAAAAAAATCTTTAAAAATTTGAAGTATAATCTAAGTAGAATGAGACAAAGCATTTTATTATTTATTGTATGCAATCCTTGAAAGATATATTGTCTATTGTCTCTCCAAACTGATATTACACAAAGATAATCTCTAGGTAAACAAAATGGGTAAATCAAAGTCCAGTCTTATCAGTGAATGGTACCAATATGGTTATTTTGAATACAGTAAATACACTCACCAGCGCAAGACTTCAGTGAATCATGACAACTATGCTGAAGTTCCATAAATTCAGACAAAATCAGCTCTTTTATCATGTCAGATGCCATCCTGTCAAAATGAAAGTAGGGTGTGTGGTAATGTCCGAAGCAGCACAAATGATGTTTTCATAGGTGGCGCTGTATTCCATGCTTAGCTGAGTCACATTTACGAGTATTTTATGCGAGTATTACTTAAATAAGAAAGGACACAGGTTTGATTCCTTCACAAAATATTTTAAATTGTGTAATAAATGGGATACAAACGTATTTTACTTTTCAAAATATTGATAAATATATGAAGATATGATTTGTCTTCAGTTTTCGCGATACAATTCCTAATTCACAAATTACTCAGTAGATCTATATAAATCAGTATTTAAAATTATATGAACAGTGATGAAGTTTTTTACAATGTTTATAAATAATGAATCAATATCAATATCTTAGTCTGACATCACAATAAAACCACAGGCACGAGTATCGGACCTGGGAAGAAAAAATATGACCAGATTGATAAAAAAAACCTGTGTTCATCTTAAAAGTGTCCAAAAAAAAAAATGTAAATAATGTCCCCCTTTAAAAATATACTATAAGTTAGGAAATGCATCCCTTGCTCGTAGGCTCGAATCTGGAGTTTCCGGCCTTCTCTTAACTTAAAGTATATTTTTAAAGGGGTCATTATTTACATTTTGTTTTTGTTTTATTGACACTTTTAAGATGAACACAGGTTTTTTTTATCAATCTGGTCATATTTTTTCTTCCCAGGTCCGATACTCGTGCCTGTGAATAAAACATTAAATCTTTTTTTTCTAGGATGGGTGTTCATCCATACAAATATTGAACCAATGTGAAACGGAGACTGATGCAGATATAAAATACTCTGATTACAAAAACACTTATAAGCAGATTGATTTTACTTGTCAAAAACAGCATAACTTTTCTTTATTATTTTCTGATATGTTTTATATGTTTTGAGGGGAATTTTTACCTCGGTTAGAGAAAAAACTGTACTTTGATGGAGGACTGGTAGACCATGAAACAGAATTACCCTTAGTATAATGACAGTATATTAATCAGTCTACTTCCTGTTCTTGCAAAAAAGATACAAGTTAAAATATAAAGGCTACCAAGTTAAAATATAAAGGCTACCAAGAAGAGTACAGTGATCAGAAGTAACATGTGTGTGTACTCGCAAGACAGGTTAGACCTACATATTGAATTGTATAGGCTCGCAAGACAGGGTAGAATGGTTTATATACTTTGATAACATTCAGCGATTTTTTTTCATTAAAATCACAAACAGTCAATCACAGTTTTCAGAAAAGGTTTGAATGGAGAGGAAACGTTTATGTAATATTATAAAACAGGCTGTCCAGCGTCCCTAAAATTCCTAAAAAATCCTAATTTTTTTCAGTTTGGCTAAAATTCCTAAAAAAATGAAAAATTCAAAGGGAATTCCTAAAAATGCCCTATTTTTTCACTGAAATTCCTATTTTTTTATCTTTTGTTATAACATATCCCGAAACAACCATTTTTCAAATACAATCTAAATTTGAAGACAGTCAGTGGTGCTGATTTCATGTCTCACTCTGTAATATAGGCCCACATTTGCCAGAAATTCCCTAGTAGAAGGTAACTGTTTATCTAAATTACTGCTCTGCAGGATATCTTATTATAACCCTGGCGTGAACTATAAACTGTCCATGGTGCATTATCGATACAACTCTTATCAGAAACAATATGGCCATTTACCAGTGGTCAGTGTGGATTGATTTCACCTCAACATTAGATAAGGTCTAAGGAATGAAAATAATGTTGATTCTGTGAAATATGTTTTATATAGATTTAACAACTGATTACAAATATAATAACAAAGCCATTAATTGTCATAGTGTTACATTAAGTTTTACAGTTTTAAAATACATGCATGATTTAATACAGAAAGTTGTAGGTATTTTACAGTTTAGAATAAGTAAACAAAGATGCAGTTAAGGAAACTGATATAACAAACTGTTAATTGCATTAAGTGACATGTTGTATTAACTTCAACTGCCATACTTGATTAATTGCCAGATGTTATCAGAAAAACAATTAGAAACTGTTAGTTTTAAATGGAACAATGAAAATTATCCAACTTTGACTGTATCAAAATAGTCACTTGTTTAAAACAGAGATAAAACAATTTCAAGCAAGTTAAATTTTTCATTGGCTACAGAGTTTTACCATTTACCTCAGTCTTAGGTGTATTTAAAGCAACTATTTAAATGATGCACCACTAAATTTCATTAAACTTTATGTAAGGGTCCTTTTTAATAAAATCTTAACTTGTAATAAAGTTATTTTCAAGTGATGACTGTAGAACAGATCTTTTGTAAGTGATACCAGCTGGCAGATCTAGACAAGTTTTCATATTTGGAAATATTATAAAGTGGGTAAGGTAAGCTGGCTGTAATGATTGGATGCTTTTACCATTTTGTACCCCAATGAGCATACTATGAAAGCCATCAGCTGGCCTTTTTGTACACATTAACATTAATTAGTCATACCAATGCAATGTACTACTGTACAATTATGTGTAAATTTGTTAAAATCTGGAAAATTTTTGTTTAAAAAATCGTTAAATAGACTGACACTGTTGTGAAATTTTCTACAATTTAAGGAGCCCGGATTTATCTTGAACAAATTCTTAAGTGGTGAATACCCTGCTGTTTGAATTTAGGTTTTAATTTATTCCTGGGAATGACCTGAGAAGGTCATACCATTTTAATTGTTTTTTAAGAAAGATCAAGACTTGTTGAAAATGTACCAACCTTAAAATGAATAAATGTTGATAAATGCATTTATAGCTAAAATAAATTTAAAGCATAATTTCCCCTTCCATTTACAATTGGCTAATAACAGCTTAACTTATTGAATATTGGTTGTTCCAGGATACTTGTAACTTTGAAAATGTTTTCATTCTACTTATGTTTTAATGTAGTTTTTCAACTCGTATTCAGAGAAGGCAGTAAAATGCAGTTGACCAGTGAATCCATTTATTCACGGGTGACTATAAAACACTGGTACACACCTTTGCTATAACTGAACTAAAGCATTATTTGTGAGTTACCTTTGTGTCAAAAATGCAAAGTTGAGCCCATATCATGGTCTTTTAGGGCCATAATTTAGTTATAAAATTCCAAATTTTAGCCCTAAAATTTCTTTAACTTCCCCTAAAATTCCTTATTTTAGCCCTAAAATTTCTGAAAAATTGCCCTAAAATTTGCCCTAATTTTTTGTCAGAAGGTGCTGGACAGCCTGAATATACAGTAAAATTCCTATTAAACACCCCCGGGGGCAAAAATTTTCCAAAAGGGGAGCTATTATCACAACACAGTTTTTCCTAAATCCAAAAATTACTGTAAATACATTTAGTGTTAGCAAGTGTTGGTAATAACATTAAAAAGGATTTTAAAGTTCATATTATACATATTTGTGTTTATATAAAATACTATGGATTCTGAATGATTTGAATAAAATTACGGCTTTAATTATGAGTTCAGCATTGATGAGTAGATTGTTTTCCTTATCAAAAGACCTGGGGGCCTTTATTAGGGGAGGGGCATTTATTAGGAATTTTATGGTACTTCAAATCTCTATTGGGGTTTTATTATCACACAAATTTACATCTTTGCAAGATTTCCCAAGACGATGTTTGATATGAGAAAATTTACCAATATGAACATTGTACACGGCCATGTTATCTAAAATGTGGTGCGGTAATCAAAAGAAGTAACAAAAAATGTAAAAAGCAATAAAGATTAAGAATATGTAAATTATTCTCAGTTTGTAAATTATTCTCATTAGGTTTCGTAAAACAAGATTGCTGAAATTGATCAACATCATGTGCCAATGAATCTCATGCAATGGATTGTGGGTCAGGATTGGAAAATTTTCTATTTTTAGAGCTTCTTATCCCTGTGTAATACAAGTCTCATGTTTTTATGCTAGTAAATGTTGAAATTGCAAAAAATGTATGCTAACCCAGGGCCTTTCAATTTTATAGAACCCATCTAAATGATGATTATATACTTTTTTGGACTGAACATATTAAAATGTATCTTTGAGTCGTATGGTAACCAAATAATGATTCTTTAATGAAATACATTTGTCATCAAACTAGTCAAATTTTTAGAACCTATTCTGATCAAGTTGTACATTGCAAACAACTTGATATAAATACAAGGTATACATCAGGTAATATTGTAACAGACGAAAAATGCCCTTGAAGAATGGTAAATTGTTTGTGAAATATCTGAATGATAGATAAAGGGTGATTTGGGTAATCCAAAATAGTATTTTTATGTTACATAGATAATGAACAGAAAAGGTAATAACCAGTCTGAGTTAAGTTCAATTAAAGTAGATCTGTGTATATAAATTTTCATTTTTAAGAAAAAATTCACAATTTGGTGATTTTTTTCACAATTGCCATTGTACCGGAACCATTCACAATTTAAAGAAACATAAATGTTGACATTGCATTTTGAATCCGCTGAAAAAATACTGTATTGAAATAGAGGGGTTTACATTTGTTCATGTAATCTTTTTGAAAAAATTGTTCATCATTTCTTAGTATGAATTAAGTTTTTAGTTAGTAACCTGGGTTACTTATGATTTCAGAATGATGTCAGATAGTTCTGGCGGTGCCGGCCTAACAGATGATGGGCTAGATAGCCTTATTGATGCCATGTCAAAAATGAAGAAACCAGAAGAACTAGAAGGAAAATCATTCGAACAGCAACTAGAGGTCTGGTGAAATTTAAACATTAACCAGCTGACTTTGTGTTGAGGATTTGCTATGCTTTGGATTTGAAACTGTTCATTTAAATTTTAACAAAGTACAATTATTTAGCTACCAACATCATATTTTGACATGACAGTACTAGAAATATTTTCCTGAGATTTCCTGAAGATTGATGAAGATTAAACAAATAACTTGTGTGCAACTTTTTAAGGCATTCTCTCACCCCATTTTTCCAGAATAATCATTTTTATTGTGCAAAACTATCCCAAATGATGTTAGTTGCACACTCATATGAGGGTGAGAATTGCACCAAAACTGTTTTTAGATTATATATTCCGAGTATATTTCATTGTTAAAGGAACTTCACTGAGGTCTGAAAGCCAAAAATATAGAATTCAAATTTCTTACATAGATGAGCCTAGATACAGAAAGATATGTAACAGATGATTAAGAATATACTCAGAAACCATGGCAACAAATTGAATATCAAATTTGTGTGCTATTCTTAACCTGATGTGAGAGAAAAGCATTGCAAAACTTTCAATTTGGGGTCATTTTTTCACAATGACAATAATTGTTCTGGGGAAAAAAAAGTGAGTGAATGATTGGAAAGTTTCCACACAAGTTACAAATTTTAACCAATATCAAATGGAAACTTAATCTCAAAAAAAAAAATATTTTCAGTTCCATTATGTCAAAAAAATGCAGTGGAGTTCTAATCTTTGCAGTGTTTTTCCATTTAAAGTGCATCACTTGATATTTGTTAGATTTTCATACTTTATGTTTTTAGTAGTGTTCCCTTAATGGTCAGGATCATACTAAAATGTCAAAGCCAAGCTTTCAAGTTGTCATTTTTGATAGATTTTAATTTTGTTAACACACATTTTCACCAGAATGGTGTTTGACCCATAGCACAAAGGTAACAACATATAGGTCAAAGGTCAAGAATTTTTCATGTCATGTCTATATCTATTACACTGTCATTCTTTTATAGATTTTGAAATACATTTTAACTAACAAATGTGCACCATTTGGAATCTAAACATATACTTTATGGACATATGTCACATTAATTGACATATCTGATTTTTACTTCATGATAGGAGTTAGAAAATCACCCTGCTTTTATGAAGGAATGGGACCCTAGTAAACCTATGACTGAGGACATGGAGGGTCTGATGAGGCTTAAATATGAATGTGATGATCCTACAGGTATACAAGATATATTTTTAACCGCTGTTACATTTGTTATATAAGGTTAGTGTTCGTCTGCTGTTTATCATGCTTATATAGTATATGGTGCTTAAATCGATCCACTTCGATAAGTGACTCAGGCTGACACAGTTACAATGTTTATGTTTACTGTTGACAAAACAAATACAGTACTTTTTCTGAGATGGCTTCAGTTAGCTTGGAAGATGATAAATAATGATCTAATTTTAATATTCTCCTTGACTTTGCTCTTTTTAGCTATGTCACCTTAAAGGGACATGCCTGTAGATGAGTAAACAATTTAAAGACAAAATATAATTAAGAAAATATACAAAGAGTTAAAAAAGTATTCACTATGTATTGATGCTTTACTAGTTAAATAAATTCATAATATGAAAGAATTTACCATTTTTAACCCCATAATTTCTGCCTTATTGCCTTATTGCTATGTTCTATTTTTCCATATTTTTAGCTCGACTATTCGATAAGAATAAGTAGAGCTATTGCAGTCACCCGAGCGTCGGCGTCAGTGTCGGCGTCTGCGTCGGCGTAACCACTTATGTTAAAGTTTTTGTAATAGTTCAAATATTTTCAAAGTCCATTGACATATGGCTTTGAAACGTTGCACACTTGTTCACCATCATGTCCCCAACCTGTAGACAGGAGGAGGTAACTCTATCAAGCATTTTGACAGAATTATGCCCCTTTTTCGACTTAGAATTTATGTTAAAGTTTTTGTAATAGTTCAAATATTTTCAAAGTCCATTGACATATGGCTTTGAAACTTTGCACACTTGTTCACCATCATGTCCCCAACCTGTAGACAGGAGGAGGTAACTCTATCAAGCATTTTGACAGAATTATGCCCCTTTTTCGACTTAGAATTTATGTTAAAGTTTTTGTAATAGTTCAAATATTTTCAAAGTCCATTGACATATGGATTTGAAACTTTGCACACTTGTTCACCATCATGACCCCAACTTGTAGACAGGAGGAGGTAACTCTATCAAGCATTTTGACAGAATTATGCCCCTTTTTCGACTTAGAATTTATGTTAAAGTTTTTGTAATAGTTCAAATATTTTCAAAGTCCATTGACATATGGCTTTGAAACTTTGCACACTTGTTCACCATCATGACCCCAACTTGTAAACAGGAGGAGGTAACTGTATCAAGCATTTTTTTTTACTATCAAGCACTAAGAATAGTCGAGCGTTGCTGTCCTACCGACAGCTCTTGTTACATGTTATAGATATTGTATTTTCTGTTAAAATTTATAATATTTATACTAGGTAGAATAGACTTGATATAATTGTACACTTGACAACATTATTTAAAAAATGTTCATGAATGTTAACATCATTCTGGAGGCATACTCCTTAAACGAAAGCAACCAATGATATCAAACTTAAAGTGGAAATATTTTTTTGTTTTTTAATTAGGAAGAGCAGAAGCATATAAAGATGATGGTAACCATGAGTTTCAGAAGAAGAAATATCATATTGCTGTAGATAATTACACAGAGGGCATCAAGTGCAAATGTCCAGATAAGAAACTTAATGCTGTGTTATACACAAACAGGGCAGCGGCTAACTATCATCTAGGTAATTATTGTAATTGATGACGTAAAACTTGAATCACTTTAAAATTAACATGAAATTCTGTTAAAACTGCATTTTGTAATATTTCGTATGTATTAAAAATCTGTTTTTTTTTATACTGCCCTCTCTCTGTGGGGTATATAATATAATTGCACTTTTCTAATGACTTACTGCCACGCTGTCTGTAACATACAAAACAATGTAATATGTGAGCATGCATATCCTATGGATACATCTCTAGTTTATATTTCAATATTTTATTCAATTAAAAACACAATTTACTAAACAGGAAATGAAGTTGATAGTTGAAATACAAAAAAAACTCACACAACCCCACTTCAGTCTGAAGTGTTTGGCTCATATTAAACATTGTTTGTTTTTTCCAAAATGATGGATCATTTTAATATTTTTCTTGTGAAGAGATCATCAGATTACTGAAAATGCATTATTGACATTTATAGATGGCAATTCAAGTATTTGATATATCTAAAAACAACAACAGCAGAAAACAACAAAATCTATTTTGAAATTACAAGACAAATTTTCCTAGACGAATGTCATTAAGAAATACAAGTTTTTAAAACTTTTATATTTAACATTCTCCAGACATGCAGTCATATCCTCTCTTGATATAATAATTTCAATACCATGTATCTATTATTGGTACCATTTAATCACATTGTACACTTATATCATGTACGTATTGCCGTTTTTACAAATGTTAATTGTTTATATACCTTATGTTTGTATCATGTATGATGCACTGAGAGAAATAAAGAATTTGAATTTGAATATTAATAGTGAATTTCTGTCTAAAACTAAAGATATAATAATGTTTAATAATAAAATAATGTTTTAAACTATTGTTTAGTAATACAACTTGAGATTATATAAATTTCAGATGAAATAATGTTGGAAATACTATAACAGTTGTCTATAACTCAAACAGAGATATAGATAACACATAAATGATAAAACAATATTTTAACATGCAGCAATAGATAAAAGATTTAACTTTCAAATGGTATATAATATAAAAGGATAAAATCTACATCCATTAAGTTTAACTTGCTACAAAATTCCTAATTTTTCACTTTTTGATAGGCATGTCAGAGTGATATTTCAATGGTGTATATAGGAGCTGCTTACATCTCTGAACACAAGATTATTATGTTTTATCTAGTGTTTATATCATGATAGACAAATCACAGTGATGTGTGCATGTAACACTATGTACTGTATGTAAATAATTTGTTGATGTTTCTTTTTCCTCCAGAAAATTACAGAACAGCATTAAATGACTGTATTTTTGCTCGAAAATTTAAACCAGATCACTACAAGGCAATTCACAGAGGTGAGGCTCAATTTACAGTTAGAATGTTCATGTGTTCCTCTCCAGTAAACTGAAAAATTGTTTCATAAATTCAAGGTTCACCATTAAATCAATAGCTTTGAAAGGGCATAACTTATCTTTGAACTTCAAGCCAAAATATTTACCTTTTGTCACTGAAATTATTGCCATTACAGATGCTAGTTGCCTTCTTTAAAGTTAAAATAAACATGTACCAATTGTATTTAAAGTATGATGAATCCATGTCTTCAGTCTATGGATACTTAATGATTAGAGTAATAAAAAAATATACATTTTTGTACTTGATATATGTGCTTGATTTACTTGTTTTTCAATAAAAACTATTTCAAAGCTTTTTGGTTTTATTGTTACACCTACAGGTGCTATGTGCAATTTACAGATGAAGAAATATGAGGACTGTTTCAAATGGTGTGATGAGGCTCTTGCTGTATCCTTGAACTACATGTTAACATTATTTTTATGCAAGGCAAAATCTTGTTTTACCATTTATTCTAGGTATCATCAAGTTCTTCTTCAATGCTAAATGGCATAGGTTGCAGATTTGAAATTATTAAGTCATTCAGCCCTTGGTTAATGGATAACTAGAGGTAAAAATAGAAATATTTTAAAGCCATTTCTGATACAGTCAACTATCGTTATCTCGACATCGCTTTTCTCGATAATTCGTTATCTCGATGAAATTTTGAAAGTCCCGATTTTCTTCCTTCTTTATCTATTTTGGATATATTTGTTTATCTCGATATTTTTATTTCGATAATTTCAGTATCTCGATGTAAAATTCAGTCTAAACAGTTATTTTCGCACTATTATCCTTTGTTTATCTCAACTAATAGTTTTCTTTCGTCTGTTCCCTTCAGACTGTGAAAAACACAAATCGGACGATAATTGCTCAATAGCCCGTATCATAATGATAATTATGTTTCTAACAAGTTGGGCTGTTATTATTATAGAAATGAATCTTATTAGCGTGTTGATTGACTTAAGTCTAAAATGAGTGAATCTTACGTTCTTTATAAATATTCAAACACTGTATCAATTCATAATCACTTTAAATGTAAATGAAATAGTGAAAGTATAGAAACGTTATCGTTGAAATATTGTTTCTCAACATCAACAAACCAAAAAGCGGTCCAACAATTTTGTGAAAGATCCAATAACTAACCTGGGAGGATATCCGGATCAACCACCCTGAAAACAATGTTTTCACTATATTGGTGTATTACTGAGTAAACCTCACTATGTGTTTTTATCACAGACACCCGTATTTCCGCTGGTAAACATCGGCTAATGTTTCTTTGTTAAATTTTGACTAGGCTTATGAAAACAAGACATGGGCATATCATACCGGGTAGTTTATTTGACGTTAGGTATGCACATGTCTTTTGTAAAAATCAGTTTCTGCCTTGTAAAAACCTTAATATGTTTATCTCGACATTTCGTTATCTTGATATTTTTGGACGGTCCCGATGACTTCGAGATAAAGAGAGTCGACTGTAATTTATTGATGGATCATTAGAACTGTATTCTGCTTAGTTTTCTGAATTTAAACATAGAAATACTTCATACAAAAGTGACTTGAAAATAGGAAAGAAAGTTTTAGGAACCAAAGGTGAGCATAATTTGTTGGGCAGTTCTGAGTTAATTGTTACTTTGAATTGTTTGGAAAAACATAGCTATTTGCAAGAAGCAAATATTTTCTTTAACATCAGCAAAGTTTGACCCAAAGGATGCAAAAATACTAGAAATCAGACAAAAAGCAGCTAAGCTCCAGGTATAGATATTACTAAAACATTTATCTTTCTTTGATATAGATCTATGTTGATTTTGTATTTTATTGTCAAAGGAAAAAAATTAATTGTTTTGTATAATTTTATTTGAGTTATTCCATGTGTACATAGATGTATGTATTTGTCAATTATTTTAGATTACGTGGTCACAAAACAATCTGGCAACTTTAAGTAAGTGGGTGGTTCTGCTATAGTGCTGTCTCAATTTAAAAAATAACTGCATGCATTGTTGTCCTCAAGGAGTAACAGCTGGAATGATACCATATACATGCTATCTTGTAAACAGCTAAAAAAAACTGCAATATTCTTTCACTGTACATAAGATTTATCTCTTTCATTAAATGTATGATTACCAAGTTATAGAATCTGATTTAAATTTATTGTAAAAATATTAAAATTATGGTCAAATTTGATATTTTAAAATTCTGATAATTTGTACACACTCTCTTAATAATTTTAAGCATGTTTTAAGTACGTAGAGTGGATAAGTCACATTTGAAATATTACACACTATAGGTAACCACAGTTTTAATATATAGTGTCCTCTAGAAAAATTGGCAGTATTATTTTGTAAGCAAGGACCACATTAGCTTGATTTGTAATAAGGATTTTTATGCAGCTTCTTATGTATAGTTAGTGCAATCTCTTTTCTCTTTTTCAAATTAGACCTGCATTAACAATTTCTTAGACTTCAATAAATTTCTATAATAAAAATACTTTTTTTCAAAGATGAGTATTATTGAATATATCTTCAAAGTTTATAAAAGCATGCAGAATATTTGAAGTTTTTGGTGATAGATTTATGATTATATTTTGTAAGAGTGTAACAATTGTGTTCTATTTTTGTCAGAAAATTATTGAAAGAGATAAGAGAAAAGAAAAAGCAGTGGAGAAGAAAGAGTTATCTAAAGATTTGCAACTGATTCAAGCAATACAGGTACAAAAGTTATCAATTAGACACTGAATTATATGCTCAAATAAATCAAATAAAATGCATGTCAGCATTCAGCCCGGGAACCCTTTCTAAATCCTCTCATTCTTGTTACAATTTACTGAAATATATTTACATAGTCATTATTTTACATCATCTAGATTTCTAGTTTGCCCTGTGGTTATCTGCTTGAGGAATGATATTTATACATGTATAAAGTTTTATAAGTAAATCTTTTACCTTAGCATCTAAGAAAAGATGAGACCTGAAGACTGAACCTTTCAAATCAAGTACCAGTCGGCATGCACAGTTACAGTATTTCATGAAAGTGGAAAATTAAATATTGAAACAAATCTCAAAACAAAATGTAGGAATCTTTGAGAACATTTTAAAATCAGAAATCCTTTATATTAGTATATCATAATAGTGTCAAATGTGCAATATGTACATGTACTTGATATATATCTTTAACAGAAACGTGGCATCACATTGAATAAAATCACCAAGACAATTACTAATGAAGAAGATTTGAGCCCAGCATTGTTAGATAGTATAGAAACTCACAACCCTCATGGAGCCAAGGTTAACCTTGATGCTAAAGGTATCCTGTACTGGCCAGTAATGTTTTTATATCCAGAATACACAGAGACGGACTATATACAAATGTTCTTTGAAAATCAAAGGTAACATCTTTTATATTTTTGTTAGTTGATTTTTTTTCATTTTTTTCCCCGAAAACTTCCATTACTGTTAAATACATTGGGTGATACTAAAGTCAAAACCAGAATAATTGTTTCAAGGGAGTGAAAACTCATCCTAGTTCCTACAAACTTTAAATGAATCATTTAGTTAGTTTTACCTTCAGCAAACATTTCTCCCCCTCCCCCCCACAAAAGCCTTAACTAATTTAAATGTAACTTATATTTATCTCCTTCATTACATCAAGGTATTGATCAGTACTTGTATCAAACTCATCCTTATGAATTTCAATATTAACAAATGAAAGGGTTTCTTTAAAACTTGATTTTTTGTTTGTTTTATAGAATCATAGACCATCTTAGTCATATATTTGGTGCAGAAGCTGAGCCCGCCCCTTGGGACACAGAGAGACGCTACAAACCTCATACCATCAATGTAAGTTTAGAATAACAGATCGAATAGTGACTTCTTGTAATTTGTCAAATATAAAGGAGACTGAAACAAAATTATTTATTCATTCGTATTTTGTATAAACAAGATTTTACAGATTTATCATGCTTGTAAAGAAACACTAGTTGATTTAAAATTTGCATTATAAAAGTAATTTACCTAAACAGTATGTAGTCCAGAATAACCAGAATATATAAAAGATCAATTTTTCTCTTGTTGTTCCACCTAGGTATATTTTGAAGACCGGGAGAAGGAAAAATTACATAAAGTCAACAAGGAATCTAGTTTATTAAAGGTGCTTCAGCATAAAAGGTATTAGTGTATATATTGACTGTATTTCAACATAAACCTCAAAATAACCATAACTAATTATTTTCCAGAAAGGTTTTTTTCCTTTTCATATTCTTTTCCCTTGTAAGAGGGAAATATTTATATTATAATACCTCATATAATTACAGCCTTATACGATGTCAGAGGATAACAATTTGAAATGTCACATGGCAACTTTATGGAACGGCCCTCAGGGGAATAGTCTGTGCCCAGCATTAGATATTATATTTAATATATCTCTTTTTAAATTAATTTCTTAGGGGTATAATGAAATAAATATAACATTCCACTTAGGGTGATGGAGCAAAATGTTCACCCAAGACAAGTAATGTCAACCGAGTTGTTTGGTGAATGTTTAAAACCATTACCTACAGTCAGATGTAATATGTTTATACTTTCAATTTATGCACTTGCCAGGCTATTGAATGTTTCAGTTTGGTAGAAAAACTGAAGAGATTTGCCAAATAGATGGCTCGACTCAGATACTTGCTTGTGGTTTAATTGATGTGTTTGTTGTCTGTTTTAGAACTTATGCATGAAAACTTCAAGTTACTTAATTATATTAATTATATATTGTTTAATTTAAATTAAAAAAAAGATACTCGGATGTACAATGACTGAGTATAGTGTAGACTCTTTTATGACATGCTATGTTTAAGTAAAAAAAAAAAAATAGAATTATCATTCTATTCTGTTTTGATAAATATCTGTAATATGTTGGAGTTTTGATTGGAATATCTGTGGCGACGGTACCTGCCCATTAGGCGCTAACAAGGCTTGTCAACAGCTATTGTTGAAAGTTTAATAATAGAAAGTGTAGAAATATATTGACATTTACTGTTCTTGATGAATTTTCAACTTTTATGTTTTCTTTTCAGATATGTTGTGTATGGGGGAACTCCATCTTTCATATTAACTGTGGCAGGTTCTGATTTTGAAAAAGATTTTTTGGAAAAATACAAAGATTGAAACTGTATAGATTATTTGACAATAAAATGTATTGTAAATATTTGTTATATTGGGTTTGTTTTCCAGTCTAAGCCAAGAAACAGTTGACGTTTCATTTTATAATGCCCTCTTTCAAAAAAGTCCCATGTTTTGCTAATTTTGGTTGGTTAGTCTGTCCGTCTGTATACCACATGGTTTCCTCTGATAATGTTGAAAGCTATTTATCACAAAGTCTTTATATTTCACATAGTGATTGATCATAATTAGTAGATGACCCCTGTTGATTTTTAGGTTACTAGGTCAAAGGTCAAGGTCACATTGGCCTTAAATGTCCGAATGTATTCCACTGATTATTTTGAGAACTATTCATCACAAAGTCTTCATATTTCACATACTTATTTGAAATAACTAGTAATTGAGCCCTGACGATTTTGGGGTCACTAGGACCAATCTTGAGATTTGGATCACTGTCACTGTCTTATTTATCACAAAGTCTTAATATTTCACACATTGAATAGCCATATGTAGTAGATGACCCCAATTGATTTGGGGTCACTAGGTCAAGGTCACAGAAGCCTTATTAGTAAATATGGTTTCCTTGAAAACTTTTTATCACAATGTCATATTTCACATATTTATTAGTCATAATGGGGTCACTTGTTCAAAGGTCTTTGTATTTCACATATTGATTGGTTATAACTAGTAGGTCATTTTTTTCTTTTTTCTCTAACTGAACACTTCCATGTACCCATTTATGGCAAGTTTCAATAACAAAATTACCAATAATGTAAGACAAGGGCTAGAAAGGGGGCATATGTGTCGTTCGACATTTCTTGTTGTTGATTAATTGATTATTTTTTTGTTGAAACAGTTCCAAAGGTAGATAAGTTTTACTATTGATTTAATACAGTTTTACTTCTGTGAGGGTAACCATCTTTTGGAATGTTGATGGCTCTACAACAGAAATCAAAGGGCTGCAAGCTCTGTGGTATTTTCTGATCTTTGCAATCTACATCGTACTGTTTATCTGTATGTATTTTCCTGTATAAGTTTATTTTTATGTACTATAATTCATCTTGCAAGGCATCAGAGTTTGATACATACGGATTTTTGCATAACTAGAGTTGCATCAAAAAATCATTTTATGCTACTTCCTTAAAGATATACTATGCTCATCTTTGAGTAAAATATTTTAATCGGAGAAATTTATTAATACCTATAAAATTCTTACTGAATATTTATAATTTAACTAAAAAATGAATAATAAACTATATTGGAAGCCACGTTCTCTAATACACGATAAGTAAAATTGGTCTTTTCTTAAAAAAAAAACTGACAGTTTTTTTACGACACAATATATTCATATTGTGACGACCTATGTGAGTAGTATAGGGGCCGGTTTAACGTCACGATTGCGCATGCCCGGCGCCATATTGGATTCTTTTTTTAGAATGACATCATCGTTCTATATTTAGAAATTCATTTTTAATCTCCCGGAAGTATACGGAGCTGACTCGTATACACGATTTAGGGCTTGAATCGCGGACATTGAAGGTCAGGTCCTCGGCCCTAGACGGGGAGATAACATTTCAAATGAAAATTATACACATGTATCCATAAAAAATATGAATAAAATGACTTACCTTTTAATTAGGACATTTTGTATTTAAATAATAGTCTGTATTATTTATATAACATTATTAATAAAAATAGTATTAAAAACTTAATTCAATATTAATATATTATTTCAAATGTGTTTTTCTATAAACATTCCAAATAAAAGAAAATGCGTTAGTAATAAGATATAATTGAAAACTGACTGACTAATTGACTCTTTATAATACAATGAATAAGACAATTAATTAATTTAAATGTGTTTCTTCATAAACTTTTTTAACATATAACAAAATATATGAAATTAATTTTCAATTTAATTCGATATTATGAGTCAGTCAAATAATGTTTCTATATAAGATAATAATAAGGACTTTTACTGTAAAATAATTTAATAAATATTTGCGTAAAATACATACATACGATGTTGACTTTTCGGCGTTCCGCAACGAAATGACTCTTTCAAGTTTTTTGCATTCCTTAATATGCATGACCGGTTTTAGTGACCTCATTAGCTAATTTAAAAACGGACAAAAGGCTATTCAGGTGTCAAAATTAATCCATTCAGAATGTCAACAATGTCTGGCGTATGTTGATTTAAGAGCAGATGTGCGGACAATGGTCCATTCAACTGTTAAAATTAATCCCTTTAAAGTTGCCACGCTGTTTGGCTTGTGTTTATTTAGGGACGAATATTTTAACAATGGTCTATTCAAGTGCCAAGCCTAACTTGTTTACATTATTTGGCTTGTGTTTGTTTAAGGACGGAAACTTTAACAAAGGTTCATTTAACTGTCAAAATTAACCCCTTTAAAGTCGCCGCGATGTTTGGCGTCTTGTTTATTTAGGGACGAATACTTTAACAATGGTCTATTCATATGTCAAAATTAATCCCTTTACAGTCATCGCGCTGTTTTGGCGTTTGTTTATATAAACCCGAATGCGGTATAATGGACATTGATTTTATCAATAGTGTACTTTTTAAGGGTCCCGGTCAGCGAAATGTTTACTTAATGCAAACAGACTGCTGAAATAAGGATTAAAATTTGTAGAAAATGTTGCAACTTATAGAATTATGACTTATACCTAATACTGTTTTGTTTTTTAGTCTACAAAATGCTGTTTTTTACAATTAGAATGAAATTTCATTCCCTTGCGTACATTTTTGAGAAATTTCATTCAAAGAAATTAAGCTACAAACCGGTTTTTTCCTCTTTAGGGCAACCGTTTACGATATGATTTTTTAATTTTTCACTACCAATTGAAAGAACATTTTAATACCTTTCATTTACACCCTCCATTTTCGATTCGATTTTTAGCCGTTTTCGAGTTATGACCAATTAGCGATTTTTAAACCAATTTTTAAAAGTCCATAAAACCGTAAGATTTATATGCCGTTTGAAAGATCTCTGCGAGTAGATACAGAAAATGTATTATTATATGGATTTATCTCTTACCGTTTTTGAGATAGGAGAGTTTGAATATGGCAAACAAAATCACTCATGCGGAAAAACACGCATAACTTTTTCGTTTATGAACGAAACATAGTCGTGTTTGGTATCAAATTGAAGGTCTTGACGAGTACATTTTAGTCACGCGATCAAACCGAATGTCAAGTCACTCGTGCGTGAAATTCATTTTTTCTCCCCAAGCAACGGACCGATCTTATTAATACCTGTATCGAACGAAAGGTATTACTCACTAGATTCAGAAAATGTATAATTTTGTATCGCTGACTTGGATAGGACCCGATAAATGAAGTAAAATCACTCAAGCGTAAAATGTGGATTTACGCCTTTATTAGTCAATATAACCCGGTCATGTTTGGTATCGTACGAAATGTTTTAAGGCGCTCTTTATAAATATGGACTAAAATCGAAATAAAAATCACTATTAAATCTTTTAATCATTCTTCATTGAAAATACTGTACTCGAAATATAACCTCAACTTACTGCGTTAATGATGTTTACTCTATGACGTCCAATCACCAAATGACCGAAGTCACCAGTGCGATACATTATACGCATGCGCTGATCTAAATTTAGAAATGACATTGTCCAATTTAACAGCAGTTTCTCTTTTCTTACGGACTAAATGTAACCAATCAGATAGAAGGATTACTTGACCAATGATTTTGATCACGTGACTATAAATAACATAAATAGATGAATAACGTCATGCCAAAAATAGCAGCCAATCAGATTTTAATACGTGTGTATATAAATGAATACTTATTAGCGTATTGGCATAAGCAAGATGAACGCCACTAACTGTACATCCTTCAACCAAAACATGGAATATTACGAAAGTAGACTTAAGACGTTCGATACGTATCCAAAATAATTACTCCCGAATAAGTACGAACTGGCAAGCGCGGGATTATACTACAGTGGGAAATCAGACTTGTGCGAGTGTTTCAGATGTCACATAAAATTAAGCGCCTGGGATAGATCGGACATTGCATTGAGAGAACATCACAAGTGGTCACCCAATTGCGAATATATTAAAATAGTAGGCGCTCCTCAACAAAAACCGCCCCCAATAGGCGGATTTGGTGCGTTTGTATCAACAACTAGGTCAACACCTTGCGGTTTTGGAGGATTTGGTGGTTTAAGTTCAACGGTATCTACTGCATCAAATTAGACGAAAAAAAAAAATGTTGACATTCATTTGTATAACCATAACATTGATAGTGTACTACTGTATTGTAACATATCTTTTGTGTTTGTTTTGTAAGAATATGTTTATCTGCGTATATTTTATCAATAAACATGTATGACTAGAAACAGGATTTGTCATCTATTAATCTCCTGCTCCTTCACCACCACCATTAATCTCCTGCTCCTTCACCACCACCACCAACCACCACCGCCGCCGCCGCCGCCACCGCCGCCACCGCCGCCACCACCACCGCCACCACCACCACCACTAACAAACAACAACACTTCACTCCAACGTAAGAAGGGTGACTAACCAGTATAAGAACGAATACTTCAGTGTACTTTTGTGTCTTTTTTTTTTATAATGAATCAATGTCCAATTTGTCAACAACTTTTCTCAAGACGCGACGTCATGTTGAGACATCATCGTAACCTGCACGAGACTGACGAAATTGTAAGAGATAAGCATTCATCACCACAAATAACCCCTGGGTCAGAAAAGATGACGTTTCAGCATCCGTTTTCGATGGTCGTCTCCGGGCCAAGCGGTAGCGGGAAAACCGAATGGACAAAAACATTGCTTTTATCCGATATAGTTAGTCCACCACCAGAGCGTATCATTTGGTGTTACGGTCAATGGCAGATTCTATACGACGAACTTCAGCGTAGAATACCCGGGATAGAATTTGTACATGGCATTCCCGACTACTTGAATAGTCCAAAGTATATTGACGGGCGTAAAAGGAACTTGATCGTTTTTGACGATTTGATGACAGAGGCCAAATGTG